AAAAAAGCCCCGGGGGGCCTTCCTGAAAAAAAAAAAAGTTGCATAACTGCAACCAACTCGTGGGAAACATCAAAGAATTTCCAATTAAGGAACATTCTACACAACCCCGGTCAGTACTCTTTAAATGTGTCAAGGTCATGAAAGACAAAGGAAGACTGAGGATCTGTTAAGAGGACAACAAAATGAACGTGGGATGCGGAACGGGATCCTGGACCAGAAAAGGAACCTGAGTGGGACAACTGACAGATTTTGAATAAGGTCAGAGATCAGGCGGCAGTATCGTAGCAAGGTTATTCTCCTCATTTCCATAGTTGTACTGTGCTCATGTAAGATGTTAACGTTCAGTGAAGGGTATTTCTGGGAACTACTATTTCTGCAACTCTTGTCTAAATCTAAAATTATTTCAAAATAAAGACGTTTAAAGCTCCAGGGAAAAACAAGATCTGGTTTGGAGAAATGATGAACAGGAATGCTGATCAACAGGTGTGTTGGGAGGAAGAAAAGGGGAAAAAAAGTTACATTCTGCTTTGCATTGTTATCAAGTAAGATATAGATACAAGTAAAAATGCCCTAATACATAAGATGAACTATATAATCATCCCTGAGCAATCTGTCTATACACCCATTTATTTGTACACAGTAAAATCTATTTTATATGTCCAGTAGGAGTTGTATTATTGGCCATCACTTCACTCCTGAATTTCCAAAAGGGAGCAGGGGAAATTCCAGCAGGGGAGGCCACGTTTATGAATGTATACCAATGTATACATCTTGAATTGCATACAAGATATGTAAATGTATATCTTGATTTCATTATTATCTAAAATGAGAATCTCTTGTGAATATTTGAGGCAAAACACTAGAATTAGCTAGTATTTATTTTGTGCCTGTCCCAGAGTCTACTGTCACAGGTATTATACAATTTATGGGGGATCGAATACAAAGTTCCAATTATAACCGTCATTAAGTGAGTACCTACCATGTGTCAGGATCTGGGCCAGGGGACAAATGCCTTATCTCACTTCATCCTCCCACTAACCCTGTGCCCATCATTTAGATGAGGATGTTGAGTTTCTGGGAAATAAATGAACCTGCTCAAGATCTTACAGTGTGAGGATGAATTGAAGGTATTTGGGGGTCACTGCCCCCAGCCTCTCAGCCCGTAAGTGGCAGAGCTGGCCTGAGATGTGGGTCTAGGCTTCTAACCACAGCTGCGGGGCCTCTGCTTTGTACTCTACTCTTTCCACAATTAGCAGAGGGCAGGACCAGGCATGGAGGGCTTACAGTTTTGTCCAAGTCAGTGTGCTTGCTTAAGGCAGCAACATACAAGTCGTGTATTACAAGGACTGGACCCTCAAGTCCCGTATTTTATATTTTAGCCACTCTTGCCAACACTTGGTATCACCAACTGTTAAGGTCTGCCGATCTTACAGTTGGAGACTAGCTCACCTGTCCTTTTCAAGTCCATTTTCTTGAGTCAGCCCCTTGCAAACGGTCTGACCACGTTTGTCCTCTCCCACCATCTTTCTGTTCTTAGCCCTTGCCATATTCTCCTCTGTTGGATTGTCTTTTTCTTAGTGATTTGAAAGAGATCTTTGTGCATGCTGGATGTTAATAATTTGTCTAAAATAGGTGGCAAGTATCCTGCTTGCCTTTAAATTTGCTATTTGGTGCCTTATTGCTATTACTATTATCGGTGTTTTAAATTTGGAGCTGTCGAATCTCTTTTCTTTGACGGTATTTGTGTCTTTTGAATAAACTAAAAATGTATTCCTCTGTATTTTCTTCCACAACTGTCAGTTTTGTTCAGGTTTTGTTAATCAAGGGGGATTTATTTTTGTAACTACAGCAGGGAATCTAACTTTATTTTTTCTAGCTTGATAGTAAATTTCCCCAGCCACATTTATTGGATTGTCCTCCGTCTTTCTTTTTAAATTACATGTAAGATTTAAATCTATTTCAGATGATCATGTGTTACTTTTATAATAGCAATAGCTGAAATACAATTACTTGAAAGGAATAAAATCATATACTGATGTCCTTCTCTCATGTCTCCCCATGGCTCACACAATGCCAGGAACATAGTATGTGTTCAGTAAATATTTCTGAACTGAAGGTGTCAACTTTTCTGTTTTCTCCTGACAGTATTATGGTATATAATCTGTGATATAATCTTCACGTTAGCTATGGCATCATTACAGGCATTTGGGGGTAAGATCATATTATTAAAGATTTTGTTCTTTTAGTGCCAGTTTTTCAGTTAGATTTTACAGAATCCCATTCTACAGATATAAAAACAGGAATGTGAGGTACCAGGATTTTCTGCTTTAAAAATGAAATCAACATAGCGAGTGGGAAGCAGCCACATAGCACAGGGAGATCAGCTCTGTGCTTTGTGACCACCTAGAGGGGTGGGAGGCAGATGCAAGAGGGAGGAGATATGGGGACATATGTATATGTATAGCTGATTCACTTTGTTATACAGCAGAAACTAACACACCATTGTAAAGCAATTATACTCCAATAAAGATGTTAAAAAAAATGAAATCAACAAATGGTATATAATCTTCATGCCCTCTTAAGCCCTTAATCACTGAAGGATTATTCATATCACCCATTTTTGGCTATTCTTAAACTAAGCTACTTTGCAGCAATCCTGAATCTTTTCCCAAATAACTAAATGATACAGCAATGAGGGCACAAGGAGTAGCCCTTAAGAGACACTAGATAAGCATTTCTTTTTCCTTCCTTTTAAATGTCCAATTTTAAGGAATTGCTTCCCTCCATCTCCCCACCCCATCCCAAGGCTCCCATTCATTTTCTGACATGGGCTTTTCAACTGTAGCATTTCCAATTTTTAGGTTGCCCTCAGTTACTGAAAACCCGGCAAAGCTCTGCATTTATTTTTTTGTGGTGCCTGCCCCATCCCCTTCCTTGATCACGGCTGTGTTCAGCTTTCAAGAGTTACATTTAAATATAGGAACAGAAACAGTCTGTGAGGCTACTAGCAGTGAAAGATAATTCATTGGAAATGGTTCCCTGCCCGGCAGTTTTCAAGCAGACTCATCACCAAAAACTAATTATGCTGGGAGCTTTGGTCATCGTGAACGTCATCGTCCAATTAGAAGTTACAGCATTTGCTGAGCCCTACGATTTATATACAACTGGTATTTCATATTGATTACACTAATCAAGGCATATGGTATAAATTCCTAACATCCCAGTCCAGATTTTTAATAATTCTCCTTTTTGCTGGTTACTGCACTAATTATGTGCTAAATAATGACCTTATTATTATATTATTATATATATTATATATATTATTATTAGTGGTGAAATTTCAAGTGATTTTATATCTATACAGTGCCTACTCTGATGTTGGATTAAGGGGTCGGTGGATTTTATACTTGCAAATTGATATCTGGTCATCAGGACACTTGGGATATTTTTTGCCATTTTAAAATTTAATACACATCACTTAACTAATGCAAAAATACGATCATGGAAGGATTTTTTAAAAGTCCTCCACTAATGCGATAATGATAATCAGCTTATCTAAATTAGCATTGTACTTAAAATAACAGTTTTGGAGAAGGAGAAAGTCAACTTGGCCTTTCAGCATTGCTGCTGAGGGTAAACTGGTACAACCTTTGTGGACAGCAATTTGGTAACATACAGCAAGAGCCTTTAAACTGTTCATGACTTTTGACCTAGTAATTCAATTTCTGGGAATCTAGCTGAATAATGCTATATATGGAAAGAGCTTTATGCATTGTGATAAAAGTAGCATTGTTTTTAAGAATAAAAAAATGAAAAGAAACCCAAATGGGTAGTAATAGTAAGTAACATTTATACGTAGTTTTGACAACATGGAGAAATGCCATATTAGGTTACAAAGAGGGGAAAATAAAAATTTCGAATTGTGCAGACATTAGCATGTATTACACAATGATGTAAAAACATACTAAGCAGAACAAAAGACTTAAGAAAATAGAGTACAATGTTAGCAACTGTTGCCTATGGATTTGGGACTAGATTATAGGTAGTTTTCTGTATTATTTTGGATTTTCCAAATTTTCTATAGGCATGAATTTTTTTTTTTTTTTTTTCCATATTTCGTTTATCTCAGGGTCCTCCCTGTGTAAGTGTGTATCTCTTAGCCAAGATGGATTCTAGCGAAGAGGTCTATGGGTAGTTGACATCACTTACTGTGGGGTAGTGCTCCCTCCCTTTAGGGATGAATTTTTTTTTTTTTTTTTTTGGTACGCGGGCCTCTCACCATTGTGGCCTCTCCCGCTGTGGAGCAGAGGCTCCAGACGCGCAGGCTCAGCGGCCATGGCTCACGGGCCCAGCCGCTCCGCGGCATGTGGGATCATCCCGGACCGGGGCACGAACTGGCGTCCCCTGCATCGGCAGGCGGACTCTCAACCACTGCGGCACCAGGGAAGCCCTAAGCATGAATTTAGTATGATAAAAATGACTGACTGTATTGCAATAGTTTTAAATTAAAACATTAAGATCAATATATTCTTTTGGAGTGAAATATCAATAGTGCATTGTATTGCCCCCAGCACAATATTCCCTGTTCATCAGAGGTGTGGTCACGTTCTCTGAGAATATTTTGTTAAAGGAAAGCACAGGAGTGCAAGGTGAGTTACAGATGAAATCAGGGAATAGATCTACTCTGTGACTGAATTTTTTTGGCAGAAACAAGGTCAGCTGCTGAAATGACTACTGCTCTAATTGGGTAAATTCCTATTTTATCCTGAAGTTAGAATGCCAGAAAATAACAAAGAAACCCATGAAGGTGATCAATTCTTCCATGCTCACATTTTGAAAGACGTTCTGTGCAATTCACAAACTGCATTTAAAGAACTCTTTTCAGTATTTTCCAGAAAATGAGGTTAGAAAGTGTCCAAAGGTGAGTAGGAGGCTATAGGTGAGGAGGAAGAGTGTAGAAGCAAAACACAAGAGATGAGATGTTCATAGAATGTTTAAATTCCAAAGGACTTTACACATTTAATGTATCATTTATATTTAGAACTGGGCATCAAAGTGAAAACACTGGCAAAGTGGATGAGAACCTCTAAGATAAATTTAAAGGTTATTTTTATTTGTAACACTTGCTTGTTGTAAAAAGCCTAACAGAATAGATTTTATTAAAGTAATAAAAGCTCTCCTCTTTCCCACGCCTGCTTCCCACTTACCAGAGACGGCCACCATTAAAGTTATTTCATATCCTTTAAGACAATACTCATGTATATAACTTTAAAAAAAAAACACCAATGGGGATTAAACTGTACAGAGTACTCTGCAACTTAATTTTACTTAATAATTTACCTTCAACCACTTGTATCTCAACACACATGGGGCAACCACATTTTTTTTTTTTTTTTTTTTTTTTTAAGTGATGTGTGGTCAGGACTGCGTGGCTGTATCATCATTTGACCAGCCCTGTTCTCATGGACATTTGGTTGTATCCTGCTAACTGTTCTTGTGGACAACACTGCTCTGAACATCCTTGAACATACTCATTTGTATACTTGAATTAATTCCACAGGAGAAATTCCTATAAGAATAATTGCTGGGTCAAAGGGAACTCGTTACATTTTAATATTTTGGTAGATATCACCAAATTGGTCCCCCTCAAAATCTCCCCCTAGCAGGG